GAAGCAACGCGGTGGCTCCCGCAGGCTTATGGTGAAAGAAGACTTGCGGCGGAGCTACCCCACTCTCCGACCACTCCCACATCTGAACCCGACATCAAGACAAAATTCGAGAAGGCCAGAGATGGGGAGGGCGCAGGCGGTGTACGCGAACACGCTCCAACACGCGCCATAACAACACCACCTTGCTAAGTAGGCCCCTGCGTGTGTGGGAGTGCCATAAAGGCAACATTAAGAGAGAGAGAGAGAGAGCCATTGCAACCTGACTCTCAGCCCACCAGTCAGCCACTCCACACAACAAGACACACACTGGGCTGACCGCGGTATTCGAGTGATCTCATCAGTTAACAACACTCCACGTAACGGCTGCGCAAAATATCCTCTTTGTTGTATTTAATTTAATAGTAGATTGCATCCTCTTATAAGGGCAGGTTTTGATTTATAAAGGTTCGAATAAAAAGATTTTCCATGTCCATGCAACACCCATTCATAAGGCATCTTGCCTGTTCATCTATTAGCGCGACTTTTAAAATATACTACATCGTCCACATCCAATGCAACATAGTATGAGCCCTAAAGGACGTCTTCTTAATGATGTATAGAAAAGTGTGATTTTGGATTAAGCTAAACGACCATTCATTTTAGAACCCTATTCTAATCGAAAATATATTTTGACATTTTGGTTACCATTTCATGAGATAGCACATCTATTTTAACCAATTTCACTTTAAGTTGAAGTAACCCATTTGTAAATGTATTTACTAGTCCATGTGAATACAGTAATGGTAGGAATCTCAACCTCAGACGCCGTAAAAAATCCAGTTAATCAACCGCGACTTTGAGAATTAAACATTATGATGGGTTATGTGCACCCTGCTCGCCCCTTGAATTGCCAGGTGATTTGAGAGCGGAGTGGGATGAGTAAACTTTGGTGGAACGGATGCCATTGATGAGATCCGCTCACACATTCAACTTTTACGAGGCCAAGGTTCTCGCGAGAGGTGACCATCGTAGGAGCCGCGGGTTTCTTGAGTCACGGTTTACC